AGCAGGAATCACCTTAGTGCTGCATATTTGCTTTCTTGGGAGATATATGAGTCATGCTCATACACAGGGATTATAATTTTTCTTGCAAGTGACCTTTTTTAGTCTCTTAAAATGAGATCCCCGCTGAGTTACAGCTAACATTGTGAAATGTGCCTTAAGCTGTTTTGTAAGTATTTAACACCAATTAATTGAAGAGCTGCAGTGTGAAACATATTTGCTGCATGATACCAGTGTAACAGTGGAATCGTGATTAAAAGCAAATAAAGAATGATGGTGTCAAATGTTTCACTGTCATGCAAACGCCTGTTAGCAACGTGGATTTCATTGGGATCCAGGGGGCTGTGGGCCCTCAGTGCTTCTGAAAAACAAGGCCGGCATATTCGTGCTCCTACTGGCTTGACATTTCTGTATAACATGGAAGCCAATTAGCTGATGAAGTCAAAATCTGGCACCTAGTTAAAACACACAGATTTGAAACATCAATTGACTCAGATTTCCATGACTCAGACAACAGGTTTGAAAAGGGGGTTTTAGGGAAATCTGCGAAGAACTGAAGGTGAAGGACGGTGTTGCTTATGCCTTGTGTTAGTGTGCGACGCTCGGAAATGGCACAGCTTGTCCACGCACGCTGCGTTTGGCCGGGCTGCAGAGCGCTGCTCTCCCCTTCCCTCAGGCAGGACAGAGCTGTGAGCGCGCACTGAACTCCGCCAGCTCGTGGCTGCTCTAGCGAAGGCTCCCGGGTTTCCATCCCTGACCAGTTCTCCTCATTCGTAAGGATGAGGCCCAGCAGAGCACCTCTCCCTACCTGCTCCTTTGGCACCGTGTTAGGAGGTTGTGTTCAATGCATGCGGACTGCCTGTGCCCTGCGGTGCTGCGAGCTCCCTGCAGCAGCGGTCGTGTGGAGAAGGACCCTGTGAGGACCATGGCCTGCAACCGTGGAGCTCCTTCCACCCCTCTGAAGGTCCCATCTGCCTGCTGATGAGGCGCTTTATAGCAGACACCCAGGACGCTGTCACCCATGCTCCTGATCCGCAGCTTCCCCATCACCTCTCCATCCCGGGCAGAGCTCCAGGAGTCCAGGTGCTCTCTCCTGTTAGAAGCCACCTCACCTTAGCTGTATGAGTAGGAGGGGGCTGCAAGGTCTCTGCAAAGGGACAGGTGAGGACTGAGCTGCCACACAGTGTAAGGTTGGATCCCGTCTAGTGTCTGCACGAGCAGACGATGAGCTGGAAGGGCTGTGGGCCAGAAAACACCCACACAGACAAGACGTCTGTGAGGCCACCAAGCATTAACCCCAACAGGGGCTGTTATTGCACGCTCTTGCACACCAGGCAACCTCCAGAGGCCTCCGCCAACATAGCTGGAGGGCAGTAGCAGAGGAGCTGCCCAAGCCAGGATTCTCCTGCTGTACAGGATTCACTAAACCACCGACCCAGGGTAAAATGCACAAAGCTGCTGTGGTTTCTTTTTTGGAAGGCCTTGGGTGAGAAGCAGCAGATAGCAGAGGGAATCCTGGCGACGGTGAGCTGGTGGCAGGTGAGAGGAGAGGGGAGGAGGAGGACAGCAAAAGCCGCTGTCTGCATGAGGGAATTTTGCAGCCAGCTACTCCTTCACCTCCAGTTGAGAGAATAACGAAGCGCGGCCCTTCCCTCCCTCACCCAAGCCGCGGTGCTGGCGCGGGAGCCTGCGCCAGCGCTGACTGCCCTTCTCACGGTTACTGACGAGGCCGCTTTTCCTGCGGGAATAGCCTGGCCGCTGCTTGTCCTCCTCACGGGAGGCTCCCACGGCACCTCCCCGAGCGCAGCGCCCACGCGGCACCTCCCTGAGCGCAGCGCCCGCACGTCGCGCAGCCCTGGCGGGGGAGGCCCAGGCGTCGTCCCGGGCCGCCCCG